GCTGCTACTCTACTTATTCACTAATCCAGTGGTCTCCAAGCTGCAGGCCTTTGTTAGCCATTATCTTGTCCTTGGCGTACTGTTCCTCCCACTGACTCCGGTAAAGGGGCATAATTCCTTCCACTGACTCCAACAAGGGGGCACTATTCCTCTCACTGACACCAATGAGGGGGCACTATTTCTTCCATTTACACAAATGGTGGGCACTATTCTTCCACTTGACACCAAAGATGGAGCAGTATTGTTCCTAGGAGGCCATGCTATACATGGGATAGGGAAGTGGACTGGTGCCCAACCTCTTTCTGTCATCACTCTAGAGACACTGCATGCAGAAACCTTTACATCAGTTACCAGGAGACCATTGCTTTAAGCAGTACTATGGCTTATCTGTTTAACTTCATTGAATTACCAGTATTGACTAATGTTTATGGGCCCCACTGTTGCTAGCAGAAGACAACAGCTGCCACCATCAGGAACTTTAAACATCGCAGGACTCAAGTTGCAATCTCAAGTTAAAGGGACCTTTTCTCTTCCAAGGCCATTGTTATTAAATTTAGGGTATTTATATCTATTTATGCCAGAGTACACATTTACATAATAAATCAACAAGCCTTTTCTCCCTCCTCTAGGTACTGGTGTTGCAATTAAATAGTTGAAACTTTCTGCTCATGACTGTGTAATCTGTTAAACGTTGCTAATTGATTATGCCTATTCTATCAGTGTTCTGCTTTTATGTATTAACTGGGGTTGTATATCCTAAACCCATTATTTCTGTGGTCTACTCTTTTGAACAAGTCAAATACAGAGGTGTTACTAAGGATTGTGTCTCTTACATTAGTATTCTATCCTATTGAAATACAGTGAGGAACAGAAGTATTTGAACACCCTGCGATTTTGCAAGTTCTCCCACTTAGAAATCATGGAGGGGTCTGAAATTCACATTGTAGGTGCATTTCAGACAGCATTTTAAAACAAAATTCAGGAAATCACATTGTATGGTTTTTAAAGAATGTATTAGTCTTGCACTGCTGAACATAAGTGTTTGAACACCTGAGAAAATCAGTGTTAATATTTGGTACAGAAGCCTTTGTTTGCAATTACAGAGGTCAAACGTTTCCTGTAGTTCTTGACCAGGTTTGCACTGCAACAGGGATTTTGGCCCACTCCTCCACACAGATCTCCTCTAGATCTGTCAGGCTTCGGGGCTGTCGCTGAGCAACACGGAGTTTCAGCTCCCTCCAAAGATGTTCTATTGGATTTAGGTCTGGAGACTGGCTAGGCCACTCCAGAACCTTGATATGCTTCTTACGGAGCCACTCCTTGGTTATCCTGGCTGTGTGCTTCGGGCCGTTGTCATGTTGGAAGACCCAGCCACGACCCATCTTCAATGCTCTGACTGAGGGAAGGAGGTTGTTGCTCAAAATCTCCCAATAAATGGCCCCATTCATCCTCTCCTTAATACAGTGCAGTCGTCCTGTCCCCTTCGCAGAAAAGCACCCCCAAAGCATGATGTTACCACCCCCATGCTTCACAGTAGGGATGGGAAGTAACTCATCCTTCTTTTTCCTCCAAACACGACGAGTGAAGTTTAGACCAAAAAGTTCTACTTTGGTCTCATCTGACCACATGACTTTCTCCCATGCCTCCTCTGGATCATCCAGATGGTCATTGGCAAACTTCAGACGGGCCTGGACATGTGATGACTTGAGCAGGGGAACCTTCCGTGCAATGCATGATTTGAAACCATGACGGCGTAGTGTTCTACCGACAGTGACCTTTGAAACTGTGGTCCCAGCTCTCTTCATGTCATTGACCAGCTCCTCCCTTGTAGTTCTGGGCTGATTCATCACCTTTCTTATCATCAGTGATACCCCACGAGGTGAGATCTTGCATGGAGCCCCAGTCCGAGGGAGACTGACAGTCGTCTTTAGCCTCTTCCATTTTCTAACAATTGCTCCAACAGTTGATCTATTTTCACCAAGCTGCTTGGCAATTGCCCCGTAGCCCTTTCCAGCCTTGTGGAGGTTCACAATTTTGTCTCTGGTGTCTTTTGACAGCTCTTTGGTCTTGCCCATGGTAGTAGTTGGCATCTGACTGACTGTGGGGTGAACAGGTGTCTTTAAAGAGCTCAGACAGGTGCTACTAAGTTAGATTAATGAGTGGAGTAGAGGTGGACTTTTTAAAGGCACAGTAACAGGTCTTTGAGAGCCAGAATTCTTGTTGTTTCTTAGGTGTTCAAATACTTATGTTCAGCAGTGCAAGACAAATAAATTCTTTAAAAATCATACAATGTGATTTCCTGAATTGTTTTTTCTTAATTCTGTCTCTCAGAGTGGGAAATGCACCTACAATGTGAATTTCAGACCCCTCCATGATTTCTAAGTGGGAAAACTTGCAAAATCGCAGGGTGTTCAAATACTTCTGTTCCTCACTGTATGTCTGAACCCAGAGTGTCGGAGGCGTTGGGAGGTTAGCTAGGTCAGGGCAACCACTGGGGACAAGCATTGTCAAGTGGCTCCTGCAGGGGTAGACAAAATTAGAAGGGGATCTATAGTACTTGGGTTCTAATGGTAAGAGAGAAAATCAGTTCTATTTCTGCTTTGGTAATTGTTGTCCAGTATACATTTGTGCAATAAAAGCAGCTTATAGTGAAGCAGTCCTTCTATCCATCTAGTTATACCAGACTTTCCAGATAATGATTTAACAAAAAATACTGTATATAGTACACTGTAGGCACCATGGATACAGTATTCACAGCACTAGCTGTGGGAGGGCTGCATCACCCCCCCCACCCCATGGACAGATAAATTACTAATCTACCTCTAAACTGTCTTTTTTTCTACCTTTCCCAATGCAATCCCTCCAAGGTGTTGGCCTTTTGGCTTGCTGATTGACTTTGTTCACTCGGATGGTGCCGACAGGGACAGATTTTCAGTTTATGAAAAAGGAATCAGCCTAAATTCATCTATGTATGGCCAGCATCAGAACCTCTGACACTGATTTATATATAAACTATTATATAACAGACATATAGTATCTCCCAGAAGTGAGTCCACCCCTCACATTTTTGTAAATATTTTATTATCTTTTCATGTGACAACACTGAAGAAATGACAGTTTGCTACAATGTGACGTAGTGAGTGTACAGCTTGTATAACAGTGTAAATTTTCTGTCCCCTCAAAATAACTCGACACACAGCCATTAATGTCTAAGTGAAAATGTCCAAATTGGGCCCAAAGTGTCAATATTTTGTGTGGCCGCCATTATTTTCCAGCACTGCCTTTATCCTCTTGGACATGGAGTTCATCAGAGCTTCACAGGTTGCCCTTGGAGTCCTCTTCCACTCCTACATGACGACATCACGGAGCTGGTGGATGTTAGAGTCCTTGCGCTCCTCCACCTTCCGTTTGAGGATGCCCCACAGATGCTCAATAGGGTTTCGGTCTGGAAACATGCTTGGCCAGTCCATTACCTTTACCCTCAGCTTCTTTAGTAAGGCAGTGGTCGTCTTGGAGGTGTGTTTGGGGTTGTTATCATGTTGGAATACTGCCCTGTGGCCCACCCTCCGAAGGGAGGGGATCATGCTCTGCTTTAGTATGTCACAGTACATGTTGGCATTCATGGTTCCCACAATGAACTGTAGCTTCCCAGCACTCATGCAGCCCCAGACCATGACACTCCCACCACCATGCTTGACTGTAGGCAAGACACACTTATCTTTGTACTCCTCGCCTGGTTGCCGCCACACACGCTTGACACCATCTGAACCAAATCAGTTTATCTTGGTGTCATCAGACCACAGGACATGGTTCCAGTAATCCACGTCCTTAGTCTGCTTGTCTTCAGCAAACTGTTTGCAGGCTTTCTTGAGCATCATCTTTAGAAGAGGCTTCCTTCTGGGACCACAGCCATGAAGACCAATTTGATGCAGTGTGTGGCGTATGGTCTGAGCACTAACAGGCTGACCCCCCACCCTTCAACCCCTGAAGCAATGCTGGCAGCACTCATACATCTATTTCCCAAAGACAACCTCTGGATATGACGCTGAGCACGTGCACTCAACTCCTTTGGTCGACCATAGCGAGGCCTGTTCTGAGTGGAACCTGTCCTGTTAAACCGCTGTATGGTCTTAGGCTGGCCATACATTATACAATTTTTTTTAGAAAATTGCTTTAGATTTACCAAAAACCATATAATATGAGGTCAACCTAAACAACACTTTCACTTGTATCCAGTTAGGCAGGCCCTTTGCACTACATTGATTAAGATAAATCTAAAGGAAATTGGGCAGAAAATTGCATAATGTATGGCCAGCCTCAGGTTGGAGTAGAATCTATGGACAGGTTCATTGATTTCTGCCTGTACCGTGTCCAGTGTAGGAAGAGCAGTCACGTCCCAAGCTCCTCCAGCAGTCGTTATATGATATGGCTGGTGCAGAGTTATATATAGAGCTTCTCAGTATATACCGGGGCTGTGTAAACCTGAAAAAGAAATAAATGCAGCAACTCGGGTTTGGAAAGCCTTTAGATCCTGATTATTTGCTGCATTTCCCAACAGTGAAGACCTTTTAAGCCCAATCCATGGTCATATTCCATAGGATGTTACAAGGACAGAAATAATAGTAGAGGCACCGATGAAATATAGTCGGCAGCTGCTGCAGGTCTGTAAATCCCAGAATTAGAATCTGCTCCTTTAAAGACGTTCAATGACAGCTGCGTCTTTTAATTCTTCAACACTTTTCTCTTCACAAAGGTAAAGCTCCCTTTCCATGGAAATACAGTAAAACGTCAGGAATTCGTGGTACTCCCCAGACAAGTCAAGCCTGTTTACTTGCAGGAATGTTCTTTTGTATAGACAAGCAGCTATGCGGGTCCCTGGTACAGATAAGAATGCAAGCCCTCCCCCTCTGTTGGGTATATAAGACAGGGCAGAGGGGCCACAGACTAGTTCACCCTCCTGCACGCTTCACACTTGTCGCTTCATCCCTGCCGGAAAAATGATGAGCTTCTCCACCCGCAGTATCAACCAGTCTGGCCGCTTTGGTGGGGCTAGTGCTGGAGCTGGCATTCCCAGGGCGCGCAGCTTGGCAGGAGGTGCTGCCAGTGTCAGGGTGTCCTCTGCCAGCTTTAACATGGCAGCCCCTGCCTTTGGTGCTGGATTTGCAGCCCAAGAATCCGGCGCTTTAGCTGTCAACGGCAAAGAGACCATGCAGAACCTGAACGACCGCCTGGCTGTCTATCTGGAACGGGTAAGGACAACCGCATTGTAATATTTGATCACATAACCAGCTTGCAGCTAGAAGGTATATCATGCATCTGGGCAGCACAGTGGCTAAGTGGTTAGCACTTCTGCCTGGCAGTACTGGAGTCGCTGGTTTGAATCCCAACCACGGCACCACCTGCCTGGAGTTTGCAGGAAAAATGCTTGGAGCACACATGACATATGCACTTTATTTATGACTCATACTAATGAATCAACCTGACAGCTGTTCTTTTTTTCACAATGTAGTATACAACAGTGACATCATTATACATTTTTAAATTATATTATTATTATTATTATAATACAGGATTTATATAGCGCCAACAGTTTGCTCAGCACTTTACAATATAATGGGCAGCACAGTGGCTTCCACCTGGCAGTACTAGGGTCGTTGGTTCGAATCCCAGCCACGGCACCACCTGCCTGGAGTTTGCATGTTCTCCCTGTGCCTGCATGGGTTTCCTCCGGGTACTCCAGTTTCCTCCCACACTCCAAAGAGATGCTGGGAGGTTAATTGGATCCTGTCTAAATTGTCCCTAGTATGTGTATGTATGAATGTGAGTTAGGGACCTTAGATTGTACACCCCTTGAGGGTTAGGGACTGATGTGAATGTACAATATATATGTAAAGTGCTGTGTAAATTGATGGAGTTATATAAGTACCTGAAATAAATAAATGCGTCACTTTACAGATTCAAGGTTTAGCTTTTGGGTGTGACAGTAAGCCTAGGGCCATGCATGGAATGAATAGCTATAGGCTTCATTCACGTGCCAGAAAAAATGCATACACAAGTGTTTTTTTAACTACTTATTATATAGCACCATCAATTTATACAGTGCTTTACATATATATTTTGTACATTCACAGTCCCTAATCCCTCAAGGGGCGTACAATCTAAGGGCCCTAACTCACATTCATACATACACATACTAGGGACAATTTACCTACCAGCATGTCTTTGGAGTGTTGGAGGAAACCCACGCAGGCACAGGGAGAACATGCAAACTCTAGGCAGGTGGTGCCGTGGTTGGGATTTGAACCAACAACCCTAGTACTGCCAGGTGGAAGTGATAACCATTTAGCCACTGAGCTGCCCTACTTGAATTCCAGAAGATTTTACCCCATTCATGACCAGGCCATTTTTTTGCAACTTTAACTGGTAAGTGTGCAGTCATGCAACACTGTACCCAAACAAAATTTATATAATTGTTTCACCCAAATAGAGCCCTCTTTTGGTGGTATTTGATCACCACTGGGTTTCTTTATTTTTTGCGATACAAACGAAAAAAGACTGCAAATTTTCAAAAAAACAATGTTTTTCACTTTCCGCTATAAAACATATCCAATGAAAAGATTAAAAAAAGAGAAAATGTCTTCATCAATTTTGGCTAAAATGTATTCTGCTACATGTCTTTGATAAAAAAAAAATCCCAAAAAGTGTATATTGATTGGTTTGTGTAAAAGTTATAGCGCCTACAAACTATGGTATATATACACTGCAGTTTATTTTTTAATACTACTAACGGCGGTGATCATCGTCTTATAACGGGACTGCGATAGTGCGGTGACCAATCTGACACTAACTGCCACTGACATCACCAGTGACATTAATATGGTGATCAGTGTTAATGCTGTACACTGTCACTGTAGTAATGACACTGGCTGGGAAGGGGTAACATCTAGGGCAATCAAGGGGTTAAATCAGTGCCTAACTGTGTAATGTGTGTACGGTGTGCTGTTTTTACTAATCATCTCTTAGTTTCTCATCCCTGCTTTGCAGGGATGAAAAACTGAGAGAATCATTGACCAAGACTTGCTGACAGGCTGCTGCTGTGTACAGTCATAGCGGGAGTAGGCGAGTTGGGGCGACACGCCTGAAACCTGGAAACAGGCAGCTAAGTATGGATACGTTGCTTTGCCTGTGCGGGCCGCTCGTACGCGGTTGAGTGGTGCGCAAGGGTTTCATTACAGATCTGAATTCCACTGCATTGTTTTCAAGGGAGCCGTTCACACATGTGCAGGGGCGGACTGACCATTTGGAAACTCGGGAACTGCCCGAGGGCCCAGGGTCAGTAGGGGGCCCCATGAGAATACCTTTTTCATAGGCATTTTTGAGTTTGGGCAAGGGCACAGGGGCCCCATGATCCCCTATTGCCCAGGGGCCCCATGTGTTGTCAGTCCGCCCCTGCACATGTGCTTAGACATCCGTAATTAAAATGCAATTGTATGTTTTTTTTTTATGGCCAAGTGAATGATAGTTATTCATTCCTATAGTTATTCATTCCATGTGTGGCCCTTTGCTCGTCGTCACACACAAAACCTTCAGCCCTGGTTCGGCACATTGCATGTGATTCGCACAGGAACCGCACGGCATTCCTGCGCAAATCACATGCGATGTCTGTGTGGTGCGATTTCAGCTATACATTTTGTATGGCTCAAATCGCATCCGCACTAAAAAGTTGCAGGACCATCGCACCCATGCAATGCGAATTCTGCCAATTGCACTGCGTTTTTTGCGATCTGTTTCGGGGTGTTGTAAATATAACATTGACACCCGTACCAGATCGCATTGATGCTGGCGATTGCAATGCGGTGCGGGAAATGTACAGGATTCACTGCGTTTCCTGCACCGCATTAGTGTACCAGGGCTGAATTTGCGAAGTGATGCATGTAAAGTATACCCTATAGCGTTTTTACTCATTTAGATGCAAATATTTTAACGATCATTACACGGGAACTTTTCTCCTAGAAGACGGGTAAAAGCATCAGTAACATTTTCAAGGCTGTGTGAATGAGACCATACTGGTAGGTTTTTGTAGTTCACATTAGGACTGCAGCTTAGGGTGACAACTCTACTCCTTCATACAGTACAGTGGAATGACATTGTAATGTTTTATCAATAGACCCCTTAAAGCATATGTGCACTCAAGAGCAACAATATCATATATTGCCTCTTACCAGTCCTTAGATTTGGTGGCTGCATTCTTTTTATTTTTCAAGTCTAGGCTCATTTTCTGCAAGTTCAGAATTATTCCAGCATGCCAGAATCCTGTTTGTGCATTGAAGTAACATTTAAAAACTCTTATCAACCTTCTCAGCTATGCTCTGGGAACTGCATGTCATGGAGAGAAAGAGAGGGGAGGTCTTTGCAGTCCAAATCAGGAGAAAAAAACCAACGCTGCTCCTCCATAGATCCAGTGAGTCAGCGTGGTCACCCTAGGACAGGGAGTGGAGTGTGTTATTGGCAGGATCACCAGGTGGAATTGAAAAAAAAAAAACGAAAACAAAGACAGAAACTACATTTAAGGACTGGTAGGCTGCAGTATATCATGTTTTTTTCTGTTTTGGGGTTTGGATATGCTTTAAATCATTTTGCTGCTGAGGGATGTAATTGAATTGCTTGTTGAAAGGTTGATTTCAGTGTGCTGCAATCAGATGAGTGCCAAATCTTCCAGTGGAAAATAAAATAGCATTTAATGTTTATTAGAAATATAACAAAAGTATAATGTATGTATATACGTGCAAATAATATAAGGCCCAAGCTATATAAATACCTGTACTTGGATACACAGAATATAACTGGATACTAACATTTATAGGTAAAGTTGATCCAGGGAATATCCGATTGCCTCTCGGGGGATCAGGAAGGAATTTTTTTCCCTGCAGGAGCAAATTGGATCGTGCTTTGCTGGGTTTTTTTTGCCTTCCTCTGGATCAACTGTGGGTGTAGGATTATAACTTTTTTTTTTTTTTTTTTATGGTTGAACTGGATGGACTTTTGTCTTTTTTCAGCCAGACTAACTATGTAACTGTACTCAGTAATAAATTATGTATAGAAAAGAGATTTTATTCCACGGTAGCTTAAGCTTGATGTTCCACCCACAATAATAATGATCATAATAATAATAATTAAAAAAAGAATAATTTATTAAATAATAATGCAAATAATAATAATTTTATATATATATATATATATATATATATATATAGTATATAACTAACCAGTTATTTATTCTTTTTTTTACTGTTCCGAATGTACTAAATTGAAAACAAACATGGATGCTCGGATTGGATGCTCCACTTTTCTTGCCTTTTTGCATTGCCAAGCGGCATGAACCTCATCCTGTGACAATGCAGAGACATACATATACCACATTGCAGGCTTACACAGAGAGTGATGAAGGTTTTCTTGTGTATTTAGTACAGTTTAATATTGTGTTTCCTCAGGTCCGATCTCTGGAGACAGCCAACAATGAACTTGAATTGAAAATCCGTGAGTTCTACGACAGAAAATCCACCGTCAGCGCTTTTGACGCAAGTGGGTATTCTGACACCATCAACAAGCTGCGCTCTCAGGTAACTGGCTTGTCCTTTTAGATTTTATTTTTTTTTAAAAGGATACAAAATCTAAATTGCAGTATAATGTGGATGAGAAAGATTTATTCTGGCTATCTTTAGATTCCTATGTAAAAATGAAAGGTCCTCTATAAAAGTAATATTTTCGGTGAAGCCTAGTGAGTCAGACTTGGAAACTCCAACAGTGAGATCTCCATTCCAGTTCTGCTCCTGTCCTCCTGGGCGTTCCAGTTGTTTCTGGCACCTTTGTGCAATCCAGCTACTCCAGCTACATTCTTCATAATATAATATAAATGAAGCCAACAGGGTTGGTTGGAAGTCCTCATGATGGTCAAAGCAACAGTGTAGACCCACAAACCCATCACAGATATCCCACCAATATCTGAGAGACAGAAGCAACTGTCAGGTAGTTTATACTCCCAGAAAGATCAGTTTTTTGGGTGGGGCAACTCTGTAAAATAAAAAATATAGCTTCCTAACCTGCCTAAATATTATTTAACAGCTTATATAGTGATTTTTTTTTCTGCCCCTGTGTAGCTTACCTAATGTTGAATTTCAGATGTGATCTTTATTACATACTGTAGGTACATTGGTCCAGCTTGGATGAATGTAAGTATGTATATGCCATGCCATACCGGTGGAATTCCTGTGGAAGTGGAGAATCACTTCAGTAGTTGCAACTACTATAGTGATCCTCTGGGTCACATGCATAGGGGTTGCCCTGCTGCATAATTAACTTAGGGGAAAGATCGCTCTGCATGGGAGCCAATCACAGGCAGGGAGGTGAAGTCACAATCTCCACTTCATCCAATCAATGAATGCTTTGCAGTCATTGAGAAAAATGTAGGATGTTCTGTGAATGGTGCCTTTGACAAGTGAGGGACCCCCCTATGCAGAGGAGTAACTAGAACCTTCAGGGCCCCAGTACAAGAAACCATAAAGGGTCCCCCTGATCCCCCACCAGCTCCTCCCCACAGTAGCGGATAGCCGGGGCCCGGTTGCAAGTGTGACCTCTGCCACCCTGGATCCGCCACTGATGTCAGTATTAGTTGTTTTTTTTTGTTGTTATTTAATTTTTTACAATTTTATTTATTTATTTATTTTGTTTACAATTTTATTTTTTACAAGCCCCATTGGGGAGCTTTGGTGAAATATCAGGGGTCTAAACAGACCTCAGATAATTCACCTTTGTGACAGAGAAAGGAGATTAAGGACACGGCCCTCAGTCTCTATCTCTGCAGCCTCAGCTGTACAGAAAGAATGGACAGGAATAGCTCTGTACAGAGCTTCCCTTCACTTCACAAACTGAAGCATAGTACACACAGTTTACTATGCCTCAGTTATGAATGAACAGAGTCAGTGACTCTGTTCACTAAGACAAGGAAGGGGCTGGTAAATTACACATTTACCTGCCCCTTCCTCGCATTCCATCCTGATCGATCTTCCGCAGCAGCCAGCAGAAGAGGGGAACCCGGCAGCGCTGCAAGGCATGGGGGGGCTTTCAAAAGAAATACATGTCTAACAAATGATGCACTGATTTGCATGTTCATGAGGGAAATAAGTATTTGATCCCCTATCATTCAGCAGGATTTCTGGCTTCCAGGTGTCTTTCATACAGGTAACAAGCTGAGATTAGAAGCAGTCTCTTAAAGGGAGTGCTGCTAATCTCTATTTTGTTACCTGTATAAAAGACACCTGTCCACAGGAGCAATCAAACAATCAGATTCCAAACTCTCCACCATGGCAAAGACCAAAGAGCTGTCCAATGATGTCAGGGACAAGATTGTAGACCTACACAAGGCTGGACTGGGCTACCAAACTATCGCCAAGCAGCTTGGTGAGAAGGTGACAACAGTTGGTGCAATCATTCACAAATGGAAGAAACACAAAACAACTGTCAGTCTCCCTAGGTCTGGTGCACCATGCAAGATCTCACCTCGTGGAGTGTCAATGATCATGAGAACAGTGAGGAATCATCCCAGAACTACATGTGAGGATCTTGTCAATGATCTCCAGGCAGCTGGGACCTCAGCAGGGGATCAAATACTTATTTCCATCACTGTATATGCTTCAGGGCTGTCTCCCAGTGAATTCATAGCCCTGTGTAAGCTCACATCTTACACAGGGCTTTCCATCATTACTGGTGGATGAACAGAGTGGCGGGGCAACGCACAGGTCATGATGACTGCCTTAGACCCTGGAGTGGCGGGGCAACGTACAGGTCATGATCACAGCCTTCGACCCTGGAGTGGCGGGGCAACGCACAGGTCATGATGACTGCCTTAGACCCTGGAGTGGCGGGGCAGCGCACAGGTCATGATGACTGCCTTAGACCCTGGAGTGGCGGGGCAACGCACAGGTCATGATGACTGCCTTCGACCCTGGAGTGGCGGGGCAACGCACAGGTCATGATGACTGCCTTCGACCCTGGAGTGGCGGGGCAACGCACAGGTCATGATGACTGCCTTAGACCCTGGAGTGGCGGGGCAACGCACAGCTCATGATGACAGTCTTAGACCCTGGAGTGGTGGGGCAACGCATAGGTAATGATGAATGCCTTAGACCCTGGAGTGGTGGGGCAACGCATAGGTAATGATGACAGCCTTAGACCCTGGAGTGGCGGGGCAACGCACAGGTCATGATCACAGCCTTCGACCCTGGAGTGGCGGGGCAACGCACAGGTCATGATGACTGCCTTAGACCCTGGAGTGGCGGGGCAACGCACAGGTCATGATGACTGCCTTCGACCCTGGAGTGGCGGGGCAACGCACAGCTCATGATGACAGTCTTAGACCCTGGAGTGGTGGGGCAACGCATAGGTAATGATGACTGCCTTAGACCCTGGAGTGGTGGGGCAACACATAGGTAATGATGACAGCCTTCGACCCTGGAGTGGCGGGGCAACGCACAGGTCATGATGACAGCCTTAGACCCTGGAGTGGCGGGGCAACGCACAGGTCATGATGACAGCCTTAGACCCTGGAGTGGCGGGGCAACGCACAGGTCATGATGACTGCCTTAGACCCTGGAGTGGCGGGGCAACGCACAGGTCATGATGACAGCCTTAGACCCTGGAGTGGCGGGGCAACGCACAGGTCATGATGACTGCCTTCGACCCTGGAGTGGCGGGGCAACGCACAGCTCATGATGACAGTCTTAGACCCTGGAGTGGTGGGGCAACGCATAGGTAATGATGAATGCCTTAGACCCTGGAGTGGTGGGGCAACACATAGGTAATGATGACAGCCTTAGACCCTGGAGTGGCGGGGCAACGCACAGGTCATGATCACAGCCTTCGACCCTGGAGTGGCGGGGCAACGCACAGGTCATGATGACTGCCTTCGACCCTGGAGTGGCGGGGAAACGCACAGCTCATGATGACAGTCTTAGACCCTGGAGTGGTGGGGCAACGCATAGGTAATGATGACTGCCTTAGACCCTGGAGTGGTGGGGCAACACATAGGTAATGATGACAGCCTTAGACCCTGGAGTGGCGGGGCAACGCACAGGTCATGATGACAGTCTTAGACCCTGGAGTGGCGGGGCAACGCACAGGTCATGATGGCAGCCTTAGACCCTGCACCTATTAAAACAAGTCAGCATTGTCAGCTCCTATATTTCTCTCCAAAAAAGGTAACTTAAAAAAAACTCCAAGGTCACCTTTGATATAGCAAGGACCTTAGCAAACGTTATTGCAGATTCCTATCTATATTGTCTTGGTAGATGGTGTGCATACAGGTTGAAGCTTAGAGGATCAGCATACCTTGAGATGTGTGCCATTATCCAATCACATTGATGATCACCAATATGGGTCCAAAAGTTTTAATGAACGATCACATAGTTACAGCAAGGCAACGTTTCGGAGTCTCGCAGGACCCCTTCATCAGGCATGTGACGAAGGGGTCCTTCGAGACTCCGAAACGTTGCCTTGCTGTAACTATGTGATCGTTCATTAAAACGTTTGGACCCATATTGGTGATCCTCGGTGTGATGGTGACATTCTCCCTTGCTGATTCTGTTCGGTTCCAGCCGATGGTTGCTGCAGCACACACTTATACACACAGCCATTTTTAACACAGGAACATGTGCATTTGGATTGTACACTTGCATTATCCAATCGCGCAGTCATCGCTGCATCTGACATATACATAAAAAGGGTCATTGCTAAAGTTACTGCACAGGAATTCAGTGCATATCTGGGACTGCCAGACCCCATACAACAGTCTCCATGTAACTTGACCTAAGATTCCATAAGAGAGATAGAAATCCCATGACAGCTGGGGGGGGATGGGGATTCTTTCTGGGCGTTCTGACCTTAAAGCGCGCTCAGTGCAGAGAACTTTAACTTGGTGATGACAGTTATGGAAAATCAAGGATGGCTGCAGGTTGACTTGAAAAGCAAGTTTAAAAATAAGTTTTCATTTGGAAACAGCTTGCATGTCAGTTTTGTTTCTAAAAATGTAGATGTATTTTTATTATACAGGATTTATATAGCGCCAACAGTGGTGTTGTAAAGCAACTTCTGTTTTATATTCAGTAGCCACTGACAAATATAAACTAGCTGCAAAACGACATAAAAGCAGTAGGTGGCGCAAGCAGCCTTCCTGAAAATGTTTTTTTTTTTATTCTCTCAATATGCGATAGCAATCATTAAAATGAAAAATATATTTTAACATGAAAAAACACAATAATTGTGTATCTATTTATGTTTATTCACAATATATCTCCCCTTTTCCTGCAGATCCAGGATGCCACCATTCAAAATGCCCGGCTCGTGCTGCAGATCGACAATGCCAAGCTGGCTGCTGATGACTTTAAGATTAAGTAAGTGATTACATGTTGGACTCTATATAGAGTATGCCTGTATGCAAGGATTATGTCATATTATAGCACAATTCTATTTTATTGTTAGAGGGAATATACACTCACCGGCCACTTTATTAGGTACACCTCGTTAGTGCCAAGAAAATATCCCGCACACCATTACACCACCACCACCAGCCTGAACCGTTGATACAAGGCAGAATGGATCCATTGTTTCATGTTGTGTACGCCAAATTCTGACCATCTGAATGTCGCAGCAATCAGTCTGCCCGTTCTCCTCTGAGATCAACAAGGCATTTTCCTCCACACAACTGCCACTCACTGGATATTTTCTCTTTTTTGGACCATTCTCTGTAAACTCTAGAGATGGTTGTGTGTGAAAATCCCAGTGGATAAGCAGACCAGCTTGTCCGGCAGCAACAACCATGCCACATTCAAAGTCACTTAAATCCCCTTTCTTCCCCATTCTGATGCTCGGTTTGAATTTTAGCAAGTCATCTTCACTGCATTTAGATGCCTAAATGCATCAAGTTGCTCTCATGTCATTGGCTGATTAGCAATTTATGTTGCCAAGCAATTGAACAGGTGTACCTAATAAAGTGGCCAGTGACTGTATATTATTATGTGTTATGACATAATGTGAGTAAAAATCAAAAATTGGGGTTGCCACAGAACAGGATTAGAGACAGGAACAGGGAAAAAAAAAAAAGCAATGTTTGAACTGGATAAATGTCCGGTGAAAATTGTTAACCACTTCAGCGCCACCCTATAGCAGAAATACTGCTACAGGGTGGCAGGGATGCTCAAAATCACGTGTATACAGTCAGGTCCATAAATATTTGGACATCGACACAATTCTAACATTTTTGGCTCTATACACCACCACAATGGATTTGAAATGAAACAAACAAGATGTGCTTTAACTGCAGACTGACAGCTTTAATTTGAGGGTATTTACATCCAAATCAGGTGAATGGTGTAGGAATTACAACAGTTTGCATATGTGCCTCCCACTTGTTAAGGGACCAAAAGTAATGGGACAGAATAATAATCATAAATCAAACTTTCACTTTTTAATACTTGGTTGCAAATCCTTTGCAGTCAATTACAGCCTGAAGTGTGGAACACATAGACATCACCAGACGCTGGGTTTCATCCCTGGTGATGCTCTGCCAGGCCTCTACTGCAACTGTGTTCAGTTCCTGCTTGTTCTTGGGGCATTTTCCCTTCAGTTTTGTCTTCAGCAAATGAAATGCATGCTCAATCAGATTCAGGTCAGGTGATTGACTTGGCCATTGCAGAACATTCCACTTCTTTCCCTTAAAAAACTCTTTGGTTGCTTTTGCAGTATGCTTTGGGTCATTGTCCATCTGCACTGTGAAGCGTCCAATGAGTTCTGAAGCATTTGGCTGAATATGAACAGATAATATTCCCGAAACACTTCAGAATTCATCCTGCTGCTTTTGTCAGCAGTCACATCATCAATAAATACAAGAGAACCAGTTCCATTGGCAGCCATACATGCCCACGCCATGACACTACCACCACCATGCTTCACTGATGAGGTGGTATGCTTAGGATCATGAGCAGTTCCTTTCCTTCTCCATACTCTTCTCTTCCCATCACTCTGGTACAAGTTGATGTCGGTCTCATCTGTCCATAGGATGTTGTTCCAGAACTGTGAAGGCTTTTTTAGATGTTGTTTGGCAAACTCTAATCTGGCCTTCCTGTTTTTGAGGCTCACCAATGGTTTCCATCTTGTGGTGAACCCTCTGTATTCACTCTGGTGAAGTCTTCTCTTGATTGGTGACTTTGACACACATACACCTACCTCCTGGAGAGTGTTCTTGATCTGGCCAACTGTTGTGAAGGGTGTTTTCTTCACCAGGGAAAGAATTCTTCGGTCATCCACCACAGTTGTTTTCCGTGGTCTTCCGGGTCTTTTGGTGTTGCTGAGCTCACCGATGCGTTCCTTCTTTTTAAGAATGTTCCAAACAGTTGTTTTGGCCACGCCTAATGTTTTTGCTATCTCTCTGATGGGTTTGTTTTTTCAGCCTAATGATGGCTTGCTTCACTGATAGTGACAGCTCTTTGGATCTCATCTTGAGAGTTGACAGCAACAGATTCCAAATGCAAATAGCACACTTGAAATGAACTCTGGACCTTTTATCTGCTCATTGTAATTGGGATAATGAGGGATTAACACACACCTGGCCATGGAACAGCTGAGAAGCCAATTGTCCCATTACTTTTGGTCCCTTAACAAGTGGGAGGCACATATGCAAACTGTTGTAATTCCTACACCGTTCACCTGATTTGTTTCATTTCAAATCCATTGTGGTGGTGGGTATAGAGCCAAAAATGTTAGAATTGTGTCCATGTCCAAATATTTATGGACCTGACTGTATATATATCTATATATATATCTATATATACACACACACATGTGATTTTGCACTTCCGTGTAAGAGGCATTCGCGAGCCACGCGCACGCCCTACCCGCTCCACGATTCGCGGCCTCGGCTGTCAATCAGTGATTCCCCGCCGGCACCTGGTGATTGCCCAGTATCATGGACGGGGGAGAGACCTGTATGTAAACAATGCAGATCTCTCCCCTGTCAGGTCCTGCACACAACTTTGTATGGCTCTGCATAGCAGAGCCATACAGAACAGTGTGCTTACAGTGTAAAGCACACACAGCCCACATAGCAAAACAGCACACAGTTAACCCTTCCTGCCCAGTGCCATTAGTACAGTGTCAGTGCTTTTTAATAGCACTGATCACTGTATTGGTGTCACGCGGGATGTCAGTGACACCAAGTCAGTTCCCCCCCCAGTGTCAGAATGCCCACGACAGTCCCGCTATAAGTCGCTGATTGCCGCCATTACTAGTAAAAATCAATCCCAGTATATATACCGCCATTTGTAGACGCTATAACTGTCACATAAACCAATTAATTTACACGTATTGGGATTTTTTTTTAGCAGGGACATGGAGCAGAATACATTTTGGCCTAAATTTATGACAAAATTTGATTTGTAAAATTTTTTTACTGGACATGTTTAATAGAAAAAAGTCAAAAATATATATATATATATTTTTTAAATTGTTTTGTTTATAGCACAAAAAATAAAAAACTCAGAGGCAATCAAATATCACCTAAAGAAAGCTCCATTTGTGGGGAAAAAAGGCCGTAAATTTCATTTGGGTGCAGCGTTGCATGATCGCGCAATTGTCTGTTAAAGTGACGCAGCGCCGTATCGCAAAAATATCCTGGTCAGGAAGGGGGGGAAATCCTCTAGAGGGCAAGTGGTTAAAGAGGGCATTTCCATCACTTCCTTTTGTCTCTAGAGGAGAGGAAGTAAAGGGAAATTTCCCCAATGGGACACAGATGTAAATAAAAAATAGGACAGGTTTTTTATCATTGTAAGCTTGAAAGAGCAGGGCCCTCAATCCCCTCATGTTCTGTATTGTATTGGTATTGTTCTGTCACATGTTCTGTCCCCCTTTGTAATGTACAGCGCTGAGCGAACTATTGGCGCTTTATAAATAATGTATAATAATAATAATAATCATCTCCAAAATGAAGAAAAAGGTTTTAGTTTCACTTTAATACAAAAGTAGTAGATAACTTAATTTAATGTGCTCTGTCGCCACCTGCAGGTATGAATCAGAACTGGTCATCAGGCAAGGAGTGGAGACTGACATTACTGGACTCCGCAGAGCCCTGGATGAACTGACTGTCAACAGATCAGACCTGGAACTAGAGATCGAGGGCCTGAAGGAGGAGCTGATCTACCTGAAGAAGAATCACGAGGAGGTAAGCTTACCGAGTGCTCTATTATTAATGCAAAAGATAGATCAGTGTTTCTCAACCTTTTTTCAGTCAAATCACCCTTTAAAATTATGGATAGTCCCGAGCAGGGGTGGACTGACCATTTGAAAACTCGGGCACTGCCCGAGGGCCTGGGGTCAGTAGGGGGCCCCATGAGATTCCCCTGGTACCTTTTTCATAGGCTTTTTTGAGTTTGGGCAAGGACACAGAGGCCCCATGATCCCCTATTGCCCTGGGGCCCCATCAGTTGTCAGTCCGCCCCTGGTCCCAAGGCACCCTTTAAAATTTCAGAGAGTCTTCAGGCACCCCATTTTAAAATGTGAAAAACTATTCTAATAGATTTATATAATGCAGCAACGTCCACACATGTAGGAAACCCAACATTAGAGGTGATTTATTCTTCCAAAGCAAATACACTTCTGCACACTGGTACTGACTAGTATTCTAATGTTTCTTTTCTCCCTCAGTTTTTCTCCATCACTGAGCTAATGTGACCCCAGCACTGATGGAGGGGGGGAGGGGGCAGGGGAGGGTCAAACTAGGATGCTGTGCAGGCAGCTGACATCCTCCTTATCAACTGATGATGTCATTGGTTGTCAGGACGCTGGTGGCTAGAAGGTTGTAATGGTGCACAATGAAAACCTGTGGCTTTGTGTAACTAAAAGGCAGGCTTGTTCCACCCGCTGGCTTGTATCCAAGTTTTGGACAATTTTTAGACATTTTGCCAAGGCACCCCTGATGAAACCTCAAGGCACCCCAGGGTGCCTGGGCACCCTGGTTGAGAAAGGCTGAGATAGAGACTGTGCATCTTACACACTTTATTGACATTTTTATCAGCCTTAAGCAATCTTTCTGGGCTCAGGTTGTGCTTTTTATTCCAACACTAAATGGCTCTAATTTCAGCCAAGCACCATCCAAGTAGATTTTAAAATTGACTGAACCAGGAGGAAAATGATTGGCCGACCTGTGACCGCATCCTCTCAGATAGAGTCACTGTATTCAGGTAGATGCGGGTGCTGTGGCTGCCTAAATACAATAGCTGGCAGTGGAGATTCCTCAACCACAGTATTAATACACAGAAAAAAAAAGTAGAGAGTTGCCAGTCTTCAAGGTTGATTTATTTTGTTTTTATATCCTCCACATTAAGCTATGTATATTATCTTTTGCAGTTTTTATAACATCCCCTTCAATATAAGCAATCAGTCTCCTGTATGGAAGTAAACAGTCCAAAATAGACAGCTGCAGATACTGACCCATCAATGGAGTGCCTTATGACACTTGACTCTTGAGAACAGACCCATACAGCTCTGTTATAGTGGATTGAGTCCCCAAGGCACAGATTTACAATGGTTGTAGACCCTTCCATATACCCAGTAAAGTGGAGTGAGTGATGACACAAATCCACCTACATAAGTTATACCTGTTTATCTGCAGTTTTCTCTTCTCTACATCCGTTCAAAGTGCTGCATTTATAAAGCTTGCCTGAGAGTTCAGAAAACAGCTCAAATGAAAAGCCATATTCAAAACACACACACACACGTTTGGGCACCCCAGCTAAAAATTTGTATTAATGTGCATAAAGAAGCCAAGGAAAGATGGAAAAATCTCCAAAAGGCATCAAATTACAGATTAGACATTCTTATAATATGTCAACAAAAGTTCGATTTTATTTCCATCATTTACACTTTCAAAATAACAGAAAACAAAAAAATGGCGTCTGCAAAAGTTTGGGCACCCTGCAGAATTTATAGCATGCACTGCCCCCTTTGCAAAGCTGAGACCTGCCAGTGTCATGGATTGTTCTCAATCATCGTCTGGGAAGACCAGGTGATGTCAATCTCAAAGGTTTTAAATGCCCAGACTCATCTGACCTTGCCCCAACAATCAGCACCATGGGTTCTTCTAAGCAGTTGTCTAGAAAACTGAAACTGAAAATAGTTGACGCTCACAAAGCTGGAGAAGGCTATAAGAAGATAGCAAAGCATTTTCAGATGTCAATAGGCTCTGTTCGGATTATATATATATATATATATATATATATATATATATATATATATATATATATATATATATATATATATATATATAGACACATACATACTGAATGTTGAAATGCATTTTTATTACAAAATATATGAAAAATATTTTTAAAAATACAGTTCAAATATACTGTATCCAAATCTACATTTTTGGAATGCATTTACAACTATATATAAAAAGATATGTTAAAACGATTTTTTTATATGTTAACAAAAATCTGAAAAATATATATAAAAAAAAGATATTTTTTAAAATATATATTTTTAAATATATTCTTCAGATTTTTGTTTAGCATCTAAAAAAGTAATTTTAACATATATTTTTACATATATTTGTAAATGCATTCCAAAAATGTAGATTTGTATTTTTAAAGACATACAGTATATTTGAAATATATTTTTCTTCCATATGGGAGAGAGCAGAGAGCTGAGAGCTCAAGTTGCACTCTGCGGAGCTCAATCAGGAGAGCTCTGAAAGCTGATTGGAGGAAAGAGACATACCCCCTCCACACAGCTCCAAGGAATAAAGCTGAGGCTGTCAAACTGCTGGAGGTCCCTCCCCTGTCACCATTTTTCTCTTGGTGTCAGGAAAACTTGTCAGAGATGATTCATGCTGGTAGCAGAGGAATGGGGCAACAGACAGGAATGACACTTAGTGCTCTTAATTGAGACAAGTACACACTATAGAGGGATATGCTTTGTTCATATTTCATGTCTGAGGTTTAATGTTTCATAAATGTGCCATGGACCTGATTATGCTGCACCATGGCCTCAGATAAACAGAGGAGAAGTGAAACGTGAATAGAATGAATGAATAGAACAGAATAAGCCCATCGCTAAAAGTGGGGTTAATAGGTTCAAGCTTTAAGTGATGAACGGTGAAGATAATTCAGTTTTGCGGTGTATTCTTGCTGGGCTCTTACCATATTCCTTTATGTTTCAGGACCTTGCTGCTTCCCGGGGATATTCTGGAGGAAAGGTTAATGTTGAACTGGATTCCACTCCAGCAGTCGACTTGTCCAAGGTGCTTTCAGATATGAGAGATCAATATGAGAAAATGGTGGAGAAGAATCGGCAAGAGGTGGAGACCTGGTATAGGGGACAGGTATGTGGCAAGGGCACTTTGTACTTGAAACAACTTTTAGAATTTCAAAGTTCAAAACCTCAAATCTGTAGCCAGTATCTCTGTCTGAACGTATTACTGTCTGTGTTCTGCCTGGAAAGTGCTGACCATTGTCAGTGAAATAGAAAGTGATGATAAAGCCAAAATTTGTCATTGTACTCAAACAGAAGGTGGAGAGCAATCTTCCAATGTGATCCCATTCCATTAACCATCATCTAAGATGGCATTTCCCCTTTACTATGAAGAGCTCTCTCACTTTTTGTTGCATCTTTGAGACAAGAAAGATACAGTATTTCCCCAATAGGACACAAACAGAAAAATCTGAAAAGGTTTTACCCATTCCAAACACAAAGTTAAAGCGGAGCTCCACCCAACAGGGGAAATTCTGCTTTAAGCCTTTGTCTCCCGTTCCCCATTATCCTCTTCGCGCCGGCCGCACGCAAATGTGCGGCCGGCCGGTGTCTGGGCCTTGACGCCGAGCGGCCGCACACATTTGCGTGTCCAATTAAGAAAAACATTTGCTGAGAGCGCGCACCCTGCGCGCACTCCCAGCACACATGTCCGGTACGCACGGAAAGGTCCCGATCTCCTCTTTTGATCGGGACCTTTCCCGATCATGTGACGGCGAATCACGGCAGTCCCATGACCCTAAAACCCCGCCTCCTGGCTTCTGAAACCCTTAAAGGGCCGAGAGGCGCCAAGGGATTAAGGATTGGCACCTTTGGGGAGCGGGTACCCGAATTTGACAGGTATCTACTCCCACGGCAATCGGAAGCGGGAAGTTGTCCCCCCCCCCCCCCCATAGTCTTCTGGGACACGTGACAGGTCCCAGAAGACTACGGGGGCCATTCACAAAGCGCAGCGCTTCTCGAGCATGCGCAATGGGCACCCGGCTGTGAAGCCACAAGCTGTCGCAGCCGGGTACCCACACTGAAGATGCCGGCGCCAGGGAGAGAAGACAGACGGTGAAACCAGCCGTGGTGAGGACACCGCTGGACCGAGGAACAGGTGAGTAGCTGTATTTTAAATGTAAGCAGCTACAGTTTTTGTAGCTGCTGACATTTTTTTTTTTTTTTTTTTTAGGTGGAACTCCACTTTAAGGCTATAAGAACATATTGGGTTGTCTACACCTGGAGGTATATAAGCCACAAAAGGTCTTTTTTTTAGATAACTGGACCACGTGGTTAGGTAACGTCCCAACCAAAATCGTTTGGGATTTCAAATGGGGAGGATGAATAATTTAGCTGCATAATGTTTGGATCTATTTGTAGAATGATCATTTCAACCCTTTCTGAAGATTACTAATCTAGAGGCTGTTCCCGGTTCTCCAAGTTTAAGAAATCCTTATTCCCTTCCACAGAGTGAAAGCTTCAACAAGGAAGTCGCCGTTTACCAAAAAAGCTTCCAGGTTTCCAAATCTGAGGCCACAGAACTGAGACGCACATTACAGAACCTGGAGCTGGAGCTTCAGTCCCTCCTTAATATGGTGAGTGTACCAGTCTCTTCATCTCCTATCACAGAGAGAAATACACGTAGGCCTCTTCATTACTCCACTTTCAGCATTACCATGTGCAGGCTTAACACTTGCCTGTCACATGCTACTTGTATAGGTTACACCAAGGCTGGACTAATCCCAGGGACCAGATAACTAATGCACCTTAAAAATCACAGCTGGTTCCTAACTTTTGCAGTTTCTCTAGTTGTTCTCAATAGAGCGAGTTTCTAATCAGAATTCTGCTGGCTGCTGGGTTGGATAGATTGACTCCTGAAGTCCATAATAATTTGTCCATCCCCGGCTTACACCATAGAAAGCTTTTTATTCTGTTTAGTGATTGACCACTACCCTTGGTGATCAATCACCATCAGAATTTTAGTAGGATGACTGAGGTATTGAAAAATTACCCTTGTAGCTTTAGATTTAAAGGTTACGTGTACTTTAACCACTTGCCCTCCAGAGGATTTTCCCCCCTTCCTGACCAGGCCATTTTTTGCGTTATGGCGCTGCGTTATTTTAGCTGACAATTGTGCGGTCGTGCAACACTGCACCCAAATGAAGTTTGCATCCTTTTTTGTCCCATGAATTGAGCTTTCTTTGGTGGTATTCGATCGCCTGTGCGATTTTTTTTATATTGCGCTATAAACAAAAAAAGACTGACAATTTTGGAAAAAAATAGCAAAAAGTCAAAAATATTGTTTGGGGTTTAACTAGTTGCCGACCGCAGTTACACTGCGGACAGCCAGTTCTGGGAGGCCGTCATATGACTTCCTCCCAGAACGTGCTATCCTGCAGACACAGCTGATCACGTGATGTGGTAAAAGGCCAATCACAGCTGCCCTTTTACTACGCGATGAGCCGTGTCCAATGCAACGCTGATCACCGGGAAATGCAATTGCCGGTTCTCGGCTGCACATTCCTCACGCTGTCAGAGCGTGAGGAAAGTACTGCCGAGAACCGGCAGTTGTCAGAGCAAGGATCGGCACCGATCATCAGGGCACTGATGATCAGTGCCCTGATGATCAGTGCCCAGCAGTGCCACTCACCAGTTCTGCCCACAAGTGCCCGTCCACCTATGCCCAGCAGTGCCGCCAACTTGTGCCCAGCACTGCCACCCACTTGTGCCCATCAGTGCAGCCCTGCAGTGCCGTCAGTCAGTGCCCAGCAGTTGCGCCAGACAGTGCCCAGCAGTGCTGCCTATCAGTACCCATCATCAGTGCCACCTATCAGTGCCACCTCATTAGTGCTTCTTATCAGTGCCAATCAGTTGCTCCTATCAGTGCCCATCAGTGCAGCCTCATCAACGCACATCAGTGCAGCCTCATCAACGCACATCAGTGAAGGAGAAAAATTACCTGTTTGCAAAATTTTATAATAGAAACAAAGAAACTTTTTTTTTTTTCAAAAAATTTTTGCTCTTTTTTTTTGTTTATAGCGTAAAAAGTAAAACACGCAGCGGAAAGTAAATACCACCAAAAGAAAGCTCTATTTGTGAGAAAAAAAAATTATAAAAATTTCATATGGGTATAATGTTGCATGACCGCGCAATTGTCATTCAAAGTGCGACAGCGCTGAAAGCTGAAAATTGGCCTGGTAAGGAAGGGGGTATAAGTGCCCGGTAGGCAGGTGGTTAAACATGTTCCAGTAAAAAAATTAAAAGAATCAAATTTCATCATAAATTTTGGACAATTATGAAGAGAACAAAAACCCATCCACCCTTACATTCTCCTCCTGGTCTCTGAAACCTGATTTCCCACGGGATCCCCATACTTCAGTGTTTGTATATGCTTTTGCTCCATTTTAGTCACACTTTAATCATTGCCTATATTGGGCTGGCAGGACTAAACCAGCATTTCTTAACCTTTTTACCCCCAGAGGAACCCATAAAAAAAAAATTTAGGTTGAAGGAAACCCCATGCTAAAATAATTTATCAGAGGCCAGACAGCTAAACAGATCATTGGTGCCATGTTGTTGGGTGTACCAAGTGCAGTTGGCCCAGAGGTCAATCAGCCACAGTTAGGTAACCTCTGGAGGAACCCTGTTTGAGATTGGCTGCAATAAACCATGTGAATGAAGTTTGGAGCATAATCTGTGGACACATTGGTCAAGATGGGTTACAAAAAAGATGGCAGTTACAAATACAGAGGCATGAGAGGTCCATATAGTAAAGGTTATTGCTGCAGACGTTGGGAAGGAGGCTGTTTGTGAAATGCTTACTTAAAGCCAAACTCCGAGCAAACACAATTAACAATAATTAAAACGTGGTTAGTAAGACTTTATATGGTTATGATTTCACCATTATTGACTATATTGGTTCTCATTTTTCCTTAATATGACTATGGCCAGACCAATGTTGACTGTGTGGATTATATTTTTTTGCTTTTGTTTTCAGAAACAAGCTTTAGAAGGCTCATTATCAGAAACAGAAGCTCGCTATGTAGCAGAAATAGCAAAACTCCAGAATATAATTTCCCAAATAGAACTCGACCTTCAACAAGTCAGGTCAGACTCAGAGCACCATGGTCTGGAGTACAGAACACTGCTGGACATCAAAACCAGGCTTGAGCAGGAGATCGCCACCTACAGAAGACTGCTGGACGGAGGAGATGCCAGGTAAGGCTTTTATAAATCCCCTTAAAATATAATAATATACATTTTTCAGTTTAGTACATAAAATGCTTCAGTTCCCGTAGATATATTGAACACAGATGTCTGAGTATGTAGAACATTAAGTGACACCATAGCTTTGATTAAAAAGAAACATTGGCTCTTTTTTTTTTTTTAATGAGCAAAACAATTCTTTTTTTCATGTGAGAACCAAAACATGTTACATGTAATTGTTTTTTTTTTTTTTTTTTTTTTTTTTTTTTTAAAGTGCAGGTAAGAAGGCTGCGACTCGGGCGGAAGCCATTTGAATGTTTTAAATATCTTTTTTTTTTCTCTCTCTTACCAGCTTTTCATCAGTTCAGCAATTGGAATCATCAGACAAAGGTAAGTCATTGCTACATTTCAAACAAACAATCAATTGCACAGAATCGGCAAGACACAGCTTTTGTATGCAGACGTGTGCCTAATAAAGATAGAAGGCCTTGAGACATGGGATGAGCATGGCAGTCAGGGAACCAGCAGCTTCTAACAAAAAAAAGGACAATGACAGCAGCTCAATATATCTGCAGTGACAGGTTCACTTTACAGGGTTTCTTCTGTTAGGCAACTTTATACTAGCTAATATCGGGACAGGACAATATAATTAAATCTGCATCATAAATGAGTGTAATAATTAGAATATACACAATAAAGAGGATATTTAAATTAATGTTTGCGTTATTACTGTAATGTTACCCTGCCCACGTATGCAACAGACATATTGACTGACAATCTCTGCACAATTGTTTTTATATTTTCCAAGGGTGACCAAAAATTGGATCAATTTATAATGTCAGGTTGGCCCTTTGTTGGTAAATTTAAAGGCAATTATACAGTCAGATTGTAGCTTGCAAATGTAGCTTTAAGGCCACTATAGACAATAAAGGGAGGCTGGACTGGACATGCAAGAACATCTAGTTTTCCCTTTGGTCATCTGTGCCAGCCATTGGGTTCTTTAACAAAGCAACTGTCTGTCTTTATCCCATAGACTGGTCCTTCTATCAGGGATAAAACACTTGTGATCATACAAGGTGCACAATACAGGTCAAATCAATATAACCAAAGCTTTCATACATGTCATCCAATCACTATATCCAAGGATTTCATACACGTCCAATCACTATGTCCAAGGATTTCATACACGTCCACACTATGTCCAAGGATTTCATACATATATCCAAGGATTTCATACATGTCATCCAATTACTTTATCCAAGGATTTCATACATGTCATCCAATTACTTTATCCAAGGATTTCATACACGTCCAATCACTATATCCAAGGATTTCATACGTCATCCAATCACTATATCCAAGGATTTCATATGTCATCCAATCACTATATCCAAGGATTTCATACGTCATCCAATCACTATATCCAAGGATTTCATACGTCATCCAATCACTATATCCAAGGATTTCATACGTCATCCAATCACTATATCCAAGGATTTCATACGTCATCCAATCACTATATCCAAGGATTTCATACGTCATCCAATCACTATATCCAAGGATTTCATACACATCCAATCACTGTATCCAAGGATTTCATAAATGTCATCCAATCACTGTATCCAAGGTTTTCAAACATGTCCAATCACTATATCCAAGGTTTTTATAAATGTCATCCAATCACTGTATCCAAGGTTTTCAATCATGTCCAATCACTATATCCAAGGATTTCATAAATGTCATCCAATCACTATATCCAAGGATTTCATAAATGTCATCCAATCAATACATCCAAGGATTTCATAAATGTCATCCAATCAATATATCCAAGGATTTCATAAATGTCATCCAATCAATATATCCAAGGATTTCATACATGTCATCCAATCACTGTATCCAACGATTTCATAAATGTCATCCAATCACTGTATCCAACGATTTCATACATGTCCAATCACTATAGCCAAGTTTTTTTCTTGTTCAAACTTTTTATTGAGGTTTCAAGTAATGTGACATACATATAATATTCAAGGTATGTTCACAATAGGAAAAAATAATAGCATGAGGCCTGGTGGCCAACTTTAAAGGTCTAACATATGCAAACAGAAAGGGAAGCGCAATGAGTGGGAGTGAATAATGCAATGTAGAAGGAGTGAGGCATTATTATATGGAAACCAATGAGTGGTGCTCCTAGGACTTGTGGGCAGATTCCTAGAAAGGCAAAAGGAGAGGATAGGAATAGTGTGAACTCTAAGCCTTGGTTGCTCCTCCACATACAATGTGGTTAATAGCCCTGCATTGTACATGATGACACAGAGGAACCACCCAATCACACCCCATATCTTGGGGCAGAAGAGAACAACACTGGAATCTGCCAGACTGAGGTGCAGGGTATAAACAATACATGTTATTCCCGCACTCTCAGACTAAATGAGCATTTATTCCTAACAGTGCAGGAGGGTCCACTGCAAGGGCAGATTTTGTCTAATTCCTGGAGATCTGCTTTAAATCAGCCATTTTCTGGCCATATATAAGTAATCCTGTGAATGTGCCATGAGAGTGATCCCTGTGGTCCTGAGAGGTTTTCTATGACATTGATCCCATATATCTCATAATTAGTACATTGCCTCTGCATGCTCCTGTGTCAGTGATGGAGAACCATGTTACTTCATTCTTTCATTTGTCAACTAGGTGTAAAAATTGTCAGCAAAGAAGAATCACAGAGTTCCAGCACCAGGATCAAGGTGAAGACAGTAGTGGAGGAAGTGGTAGATGGGAAGGTGGTATCTTCCTCAGTGAAAGAGGTGACTAAGGACTCCTAACCCCCTCCATAACGGCATCAAGGAAACGCTAGAGAACTTTATCTAAAACCGAAAAATAAAACACTTTATGCATCTGCTCTGCAACCAGTTTATGTGTTTTTACTCTATTTATGATATATTGATTAGGAATTTTTGTAAAATCTTAAGCTGCCCATAGATGTATGAAGGAATCCTCCCTGCTGTGTCATTGTATTCTGACAGGGGGACTCCTTCATGGCTAGAATACACTGATCAGCGCTGCAGCTGATTGGCTAATTGAACACAAATTTTCCAACAGTCCCATTTGAGTAGATTTGATGGCCAGTCCACTCCTCTTGAACAGGAACTGACAAAGATGGATGAAATTTGAACGGTTCCTAATTTCGATTTCTCAATGTCTGGAAAACTCCCAGGAATGTTGCCAAGGACGTTGCTAAGAGATGTCTGGTTATCACTGTTCACCTCCACCATCGCAGGAGTGAGCGCTCAAACTCCGAGCTCAGAACTCCTACATCAGAGGAGAAAAAGAGCATATGAGGGGGTTGAGCTCCCTCCGATGATGCTGTGAGCCTAGTGAGGCTTTTCTTAGCAAAGTCCTGAGATATTTCCAGTCAGGCTTCATGAGATACGTAAATGGCCTACACCTATAGCAAGGGCATTAGTCAGCTGTAGTCAAAGCTGCACAGCTTGTTTATATCTACAGACACCCCTTGTCTGCAGAGGTAGTTTTTTTTTTGTAAAGGTGAACTATACGGTTTAGAAAGGCTGCATTGCACGTGCATGTTTACATGCATAAGGTATCCTATTCGCTATCACTGAGCTGCAGCGGACCGGAAACATACATGACCCTTTGATGGCAACACTCCATCTTAACCCCTTCGATGCCAGGTCCATACATCGATTTTTACTGACACTTTGTGTCTCCTAGACCCTTGCGGTAATATCGTGTGGCATACAAAATTAGGACTACCACTATTTTATTCTCTAGGGCACGGGTGTCAAACTGGCAACCCTCCAGCTGTTGCCAAACTACAAGTCCCATAAGGCATTGCAAGATTGACAGTTACAAGCATGACTCCCAAAGGCAGAGGCATGATGGGACTTGTAGTTTCACAACAGCTGGAGGGCCTCCAGTTTGACACCCCTGCTCTAGGGTGTCTGCTTTCAGAAAATATCATGTTTTGGGGATTTGTGTAATCTTCAGGCCTAAAATGATTTTTTTTTAAACGTGTGCCAAAAAATGCAAAAATGGCAGCGAAAGGGTTCAGGCACACTAGGACATACGCAGGGGCGGACTGACAACTCATGGGGCCCCCGGGCAATAGGGGATCATGGGGCTCCTGTGTCCTTGCCCAAACTCGAAAAAGCCTATGAAAAAGGTACCAGGGGCATCTCATGGGGCCCCCTACTGACCCTGGGCCCTCGGGCAGTGCCTGAGTTTCCAAATGGTGGTCAGTCCGCCCCTGGACATACGTGTTGGTGCACATTGTGGTAATGCCAGTTGTGTTACCGCAACTCATAGGCCTGAATGGGCCCAAGGGGCTGTGCAGACAGCCAGATTCGCCTTGATTTCAGGTACATCAAAGTTTGCATTTGAGATGCCTTTTGCGCTGATTTTGAACTTTTTGTTCCGAGTTGCTTTTGCATCCATATTGACTTGTGGGGGATGAAATCAGTTCTGATACAAAACGCTTATACTAGGGATCAGGGGCGGACTGACCATTTGGAAACTCGTGCACTGCCCGAGGGCCCGGGGTCAGTAGGGGGCCCCATGAGATGCCCCTGGTACCTTTTTCATAAGCTTTTTTGAGTTTGAGCAAGGACACAGGGGCCCCATGATCCCCTATTGCCCGGGGGCCCCATGAGTTGTCAGTCCGCCCCTGCTAGGGATGCACTGAAATTTCGGTGGCCGAAACGTTTCACCCAAAAACACCCCTTTCGGCCGTCGGCTGATATGAAAAAAAGCACCGATACAGGTGCCAAAAAAAACCCGCTCCTCACCGCTGCCCGCCACCAGCCGCTGCTCTGTAGTTCTCAGACTTACCTGAGAAACCATCGATCCCGGCGCTGGGCATAGAGATGAAGGAAAAATGGCTACCACTCATCTCTATGCCCTTGGAGGACAGAGCGATGTCACTTCCCGTTCCGGTCATTTTTTTAAAGCACTAGGTCAATGCTTTTTTTTTTTTTGATCCAATGCTTTACATTGCAGAGGAAAGATGTGGGGTCTTATTGACCCCATCAAATAACAAAGTCCTCCTGCGCTTAAAAACGGAGATGAATCCTCATGTAAAGCTGCCAACACTCAAACTGATACCTACACAGTGTATGCAAATAGTGACAAACAATAGTGCAGCGCTTTCTACAAAAAACAAAAACAAAAAAAACAACAACATGAATACATAGGTGTAAATGAATACTCTAAAAAGTGCCAAAAAATACACAAAAGTGCCCAAAACAGTTAAATCAATAGGTAAATAAAAGTGCCACTGATTGGTACGCTATACGCAGCTTCCGGTACGCGGTGACGTCGGTCGCCATCTTGGTATACCAAGGAAGTCCCACACACATGCAGTACACCCATACATCGGTGAGGAGGAGGGAACTGCTGAAAATGTGAGTGGGATGGTTGCTTATTACAATAAAGGAGTTATTGGTATATAAAGAATTACTGCACTATAGAGGATCTTTTTTGGCTCACTGTATTGGTGAGCTACTATCCCACAGAAAACGTCATATTTGGGGAAAACGGGAGCCCTGTAAGAGACCCACCACACGAGGATTGGTACCAGCTAAAGGATCCAGGGTGATCCTGAAAGCGGTTTGGCCCCCCCGGGGTCACCGGAAGGAGGTGAGGAGGCATTGTAGCCACAATAGAATAGACATGGTCACAGATTTGATTTTACACCATTGCACCTTGCATGAAAGTTTATATCACCTATCCTTTGAAATATGGACTTTATGAATATTTAAGTGTGTTTTTTTTGAAGTGTGGACACTTATTTTTGCACTTAGCACATATATTTATCCCCTATTCCTGAGGGGTCATTATTATTTTATATGAGTTCATGTTATCTTTAATCACATCAGTTATCAGTGGCACTTTTATTAACTATTGATTTAACTGTTTTGGGCACTTTTGTTGTGTATTTTTTTGGCATTTTTTAGGGTATTCATTTGCACCTATGTATTCATGTTTTTTTTTTTGGTAGAAAGCGCTGCGCTATTGTTTGTCACTATTCTTAATGACCCCATATCTCTCCATAAAGAGGACCTGTCACTAATTATTTCTATCACAAGGGATGCATGCATTTCTTGTGATAAGAATAGAAGTGATTAACAAGGGACAGTACAAAAAAAAAAAAATGTAAAGTGCCCCTGTGCACGCACATAGTGGTGAACGCATACATAGGCCACGCCCACATATGTAAATAATGGTCAAACCCACACGTGAGGTATCGCCACGAACGTCAGAGCAAAAGCAATAATTCTCACACTAGATCTCCTCTGTAACTTCACACTGCTAACCTGTGTAAATTTTTAAAGCATCACCCATGGAGATTTTTAAGTATCGCAGTTTCACGCCATTCCACGAGCGTTCGCAATTTTAAAGCGTGACATGTTAGGTATCTATTTAGTCGCCGTAACATCCTCTTACATATTTTACAAAAAAAATGGGGTATATATTGTTTTTTTTTATCAAAGTGTGTTTACTTCCAAATAATATATATATCATTTTTAAAATGAATTCGGTTTCCGTTTTCGGCCAAGTGCATTTTGAAATTTTGGTTTTGGTTTCGGCACCAGAATTTTCATTTCGGTGCACCACTATCTTATACCCTTACCCTCATACCATGCCTATAAAAATGCCTCAAACATGACCCCCCCCCCCATGTGTACAGTCATAATGGAATAAGATTGCTAGTCATTTCATTTACTTTTAAATGCACAAGATGGCAAAAAAGGTGACATTCTCTATAAATCTTTGCCCTGCAGAAAATATATCTTTTATCATCCAGCCCACTATCCAGCCTCTGCCAAGAACATAAAAGAGCCTTGTGGGTATTAGTTTTCTTTCTGCTGTTAACAGGATTCCTCTTGTAAAGATAATTACGTTGCTCATCATGAATGACTCTTGACAGTAATTTATGCTGTACAATAGCTGCTGTTTTATATATCCTATAATCATTTGAGAATGCTTTTAAATTATGACACATAGTTTATAGTATTTAACACAAAACTGACTAATTTGGTGCATATATTAAAAAAAAATGAATAAAAGTGTACTGCGATAGCACTATGATGATAACATTGTTATCCTAATAAATGGTTGTACGCTATGGGAAAATGACGCTATGGCCCTGGAGAATAAATGATGGCTGTTGCAATATTTTATGTCATGCAATATTTGTGAAGTGGTTTATCAAACCCAAATTTTTCTGAAAAAAAAAATACACTTTAATGACTTTTAGTGCACACAAAACACAACATAATACCCAATTTGATGATGTTACGCCAAGTACATAGATACCGAACGTGTCACACTTTGAAATTGCCCATATGGAAGAAAAATATATTTGAAATATATTTTAAAAATATTCTTCCCAAATATATTGACATGCTACAATTTTAGCCATATTCAATATATTTCAACACACACACACACACACACACACACACACACACACACTACACACACATACACACACACACACACACAATGTTGAAATGCATTTTCTATATATTACAAAATATGAAAAATATTTATAAAAATATATATTTTTTAAATATATTCTTCAGATTTTTTTTACATATAAAAAAGTCATTTTAACATATATTTTTACATATATTTGTAAATGCATTCCAAAAATGTAGATTTAGATTTTTTAAAGACATACAGTATATTTGAAATATATTTTTAAAAATACTTTTCAGATATTTTGGAATAAAAATGCATTTCAACATGCAGTATGTATATATATATATATATATATATATTATATATATATATATATATATTT